CCCTCCGCGTCCCGCGCTGCGGCTGCTCGGCTCCAGCAGGACGCTGCGCTGACAACCCGGCGACCGATGTTTATGCTGGGGATGAACCTGGCCCTGCATCATGCTTTTCTGAGCTCAGAATAAACGTTTCCAACGTGGGACGTGCCCTTAATAGAAGTGCGCCAAATGGCATTGCCTCCCCGCTTTGTTTTGGAAAAGCAGTTAAATGGGAAAAGGGAGTTTTACTTGTGTCTCACTCCCCTCCTTTCCTGTGGGCACCCCCATCTCTTGGATATGGTCCTCCTGCGCAAATAAGAGTTTTTCCTGTGAGTATCTCTGGTCTAAACGTTGACACCACCCAAACCAGAGAGGAGGACGTCTGGAAAGGGCAGCACCCTTCTCTGGAGAGGCTCTTCTTGCGTGTCCGGTGAAATTACCATCACCTGCCCAGCACTCACCGGCAGGTGCTCATTAACCACGTAACGGAGCTGATGGTTCTCAGCAATTGCCGGAAGATGCAGCAACACTTATTTCACTAATTATGGCTCCGTATGCCAGGTTCAGAGCGAATGTTGTGCCGAGTGAGTCAATTGGCATTACAGCCTTATTAACGCTTTTATGTCAGCTCTTTCATTCTGGCATTCCCTCGGCAGTCGTCAAACATGGCACAACACACGTTCGTCGTCGCTAATGAACGCGCACGTAACCACGTTCCCCGGAGCCCTCGTCACAAGCGCGGCAGCAATCTGCTGGGTTTAGTCAAAGCTCTGCCAATGCCCGTGCCAGCCAGCAGTAGCCTGGGTATGCTGTGAAGCACCAGCACATGCTTGGTTCGTCTGTGCCTCCGCCTGCTCTCTGAATGTCTCGCATGTTTTACACGGCATGAACAAGTAAAATATAATTATAGTTATAAATGTATAAATATATTTTTCTTTTTTTTCCAAAGTGCAGTTAGATAAGAGATTACGACCCAGAGTAATTATATACGTTCTAATGACAGCAGACTCAGGAGGAATTCCAATGTTGTCCCTTTTAGTATTTTGTCATGAGTGTTTTGTGTGTGAACTAGAACTTGGTATCAATAGACCTAATATTCACTATAAAATGGAGCACAAATGACCATACTATTTGTGTTTCTTCCTTTTTTAGTGTTTATGATGCTGCCTCAACCATCCCATGAGGCAACGAGAAGCACTGAGAAATCACCCTGTGAAAAAAATGCTCCCTCAAAAACCATTTACTGCATGGCCTGTTATTTTTAGTATTTGCTAATATTAAATTGCTATTTGAGACTACGCACACGTTATCGTCCTACTCCGTATCGCTTATTATCTTTCCTTAATTTTCCCTTCAAGCACAAGGCCAAATTCAGCCCCTTTTATCCATGTTTTTCTGCGAGAAATCCCCCTGAAATCAACAGCGCTAGACAGAGCAAGATACTACTAACTGACAAAACAGGGCAGAAACTGTCCCTAAGTATATAGTTCCCTGCTCACATCCCCTCTCTGGTGATGGCATGCTCACTACCCAGGAACAATGGCCTGAAGTTGAGAAAGAAAACATTTTACAGTAACTGAAATACAGGCAAACAATAGCCTAATTTACCAACTAAGAATAGTGAGATATCATCCCTGAAAAGAGTAATCCAGATAAAGGAAGAGAGAGTGAAGAGATGATCAGGCAGTCATTCAGGCCTATCTTCTGATGTTGCCAGAAAGATTAAATCTGTCCTAACAAAGCAGAACAAGGGCTTGGAATAATGTTATCTTCCTGCTCCTCCCCCCCTTTGCTGCATTTTTATCAAGCTCTTTTACCTTCAGATGCCCAGAAAACAAAAGGAAAGGGGGAAAATATAGAAAGTGAGAGGATAGAACTTTACTTCTTCTTTTTTATTTTAAAAAGAGGCACAAACGTATTCATTTACTACCTCACTTTCTCGACTTGGCATGTTATGTTAAATATTTGCAGTAGAAAGAAAATCTTACTAATAGATAGAGTTAATAGAATATCAAATAAAGTGAAGTGTCCACCAACTATCCTTGATGTTTTGGGTAAAAGATATTTTTTGGCTTTGTTTGCTTGTTTTGCCTTTTTAGCACTAGAAAAAGTGGTCTCAAAGAACTAAAATGTATTCTTAAATCAACACTGGCTAGAAGACTTTCAGCATTACAGAGGGGAGTGTTGCCTGGCAGAAAAATATTTTATCAACCAGAGATGAGTAAGCTCAAAACTGTCTCTTTATGTAGTTTTCACAGTATCAAAATTTGCCAACATTTATATGCAAAACCAAGAAGAAGAAATTTAAATGTACACCTGGCACATATTTTTATTTCAAAATACTTGCAAACTGTCTTCATGATTTGAGTTGTTCTAAGTGTGGTTTATGACTATGGCATACCCGGGTCTAAATGGCGTCCTGTTCTGAAGAAAAGAGCTGGCAGAAAAGTGCTCCTCAGCAATCTACACCCTTTTTTTGTCTTTCAGCCAGCATAAAGACAACAACAATACATACAAAATGTGGCATATGTGCAGTACTGTCTTAGGTGGGCGAGCGGGCTTAAATACAGTACAGAAAGGTGGAATTCGAGGACGGATTTGTATTCCTGAGCTAGACAGTCTTCCTATATCCTTGAGCGGGATAGCCAGCCTTACTTTCTCTGTTTAGTGTAAATAATATTTCTGTGTAATGCAGTCCTCCATATTCCAGCAATCGTAAGGCTCGTGGCACTGAGGTTACCTGAGGCAGTTTACAAACCTCACTGTCAAGGAAATTTTACATTGCATGGTTGTACTCTTCTACTTCCATTAAAAACAAATCTAACTCCCAAAATTAGAACACACAGATTTCCTGCAGCAACTCCTTGAACCGGAAGGGAAAGTTAAACTGACTCTGCCACAAGTGAAGGAACAGACAAATGGTGTGATTCTTCTTTTGAATAGCTTGAGGAGGAAACAGTTTATGCATTACACTTTGTTATTTCGTCTGTAGGTAATGTTTTCAGCAGCTCCCGAGTCCCACCTTCAAAAACCTCCTAGATGCTTTGGAAACTTCCTATTTTTCTGACAGTCTCTGAGGCATCCTATTTCACATTGATGCTGTAACACCTGGAGAAAAGGAGGGAAGAGGAGCATTGTTCCACTTAAAATTTTTGTGTCATATTTGATACTTCTAGTCTGTGAATTCAGTTCCAGACTCTGTGCTAGAAAGCAGGACAAAAGATGTCCAGGAAAGAATGCTGCTCCAGGAGAGATGAAAAAAACATGGGAATGGCAATACTGGTTCACCCCCAGGTTTATCCAGTATTCCACCTCCCATTATGGTGTGTAGTGGCTACTCCAGAGGAAGCTGTTCAGAA